TAAAAATGTACGGCTAAATAATTACAAAAATTATTAAATGTTAAACACAAAAAGCTAATTCAGTACTTCTCTCTGAGGAATATTAAAATAAAGAATTTTGGTAAAAGTCTGTAAAATTTCAAACTAATTATTTATACTACTATATTATATTATTGTCAGAAAAGTATTTAAAAAAAATAGAATAGAATGTAATATTGGAATTAAAAAAGTAGTAATATCAAAGCAAAAACGATTAACGAATAACTACACTTCAATATATATATATATTAACTACATTAGCACGCATGAGTTAGATCTCTGTTAGACCAAGAATTTAAAATTTCGAAATTGTCAGTTTGGAAGCAACAACCACGGAAGAATCTGAAGTGTTACGTAGAGCTCGTAATCCGAACTGAAGACATCAAACGAAGATTAGCACCGTAAAATTCCCATCCATTCGCCATGTCTATTATTCACGGCTGTCGTCACGTTATTAAATTATCATTACGTGCCGTTGATAATTTGTCCATTATTACGTCACGTTGGCGAAGTTGTTTGTTCCACGCGAATCGATTTAAGTGCAATCAACGACAACTCGGGTGTTTCGCTTCGAAGAAGCAACAAATACGAAAGTGAATATACGGCCTGCAAAATACGCGTGATCTAAAAAAAAAAAAAAAATGTATAAAATATTCAAGATTGAGCGTTGCTTATGATATTAAATAGATGAAAGAAATCCTTATTTAATTATGTTCGTATTATATTCACAATGTTAAACAGATGACACGAATTTGTAAAAATACAGAATTGCATTCATAATTTTGAAATTTATATATTGCTAAATTTTCAGCAACTTTCATGAGATTGACATGATTGTATTGTATTGGTCAAATGTGAGACAAGTCTAGAAATCTGTGGAAGGATACTTAATAGAAATATGCATTTCTCAAATATTAGAGAGAGCCAATTATCGAATTATATTAATTATTCAATGCTGCATGCTAATTAATTTCAATGGATATCTTATATATATTAATGCACCGTATGTTAATTTGTTTCAATCTTGCGTTGTCTATTACCAGTTTTCAAATTTCATCAACACAATCATTACAGTTAATTTTATCATTAACGACGTTTCAAAATATATGAATTGATTCCAAATCCTGTTGCATCGCAATGTTAATGATGTTACGAAATATTTCGTAAAACGCGTGTTGAAGTTCTTTTATGACAACCGCGTTCGAATACAATCGTGGCCCACTGTGTATGCAGACGTATGAAAATTTCGTTGACGGTACACGCGACGTCATTAACGCGTATACGGGCAATTTCGACTAGGACGTGGAACTTTCTAACGAGTGGACAGCTCTTGACAAATCTGTCATTAGCAAACCGGAGTCGAACGGATCGGTAAACGGTGTGCCGCAGCAACAGGCGGTCGATTCGGAATTTAGCGTTTCGTTAGAGTCGGCTTCCTTAAACGTTTCGACAGAAACGAGGAAAGTGGGGAGGGAAAAAAAGCAGAGAGGAATTAGCTTCTGCTCGTGTCTTCGTTGAGTATGTAGGTATCTTGCGAGTTAAAGGGGTTGGATCGTTGGACTGAACGTTTCGGTCTTACCTTATTTGGCCCACTGCTTTCTTCACAGCTATTCATTTTCAGATCCTTCCTCTCTTCGGCTGGTGTTTATGCATTTATCTCCGAAGATCCGCGTGGAATTCTTAAATGGAATTTCACGAATTAAAGAACGCGAACGTCGTTCAATTAAACGCTTGGTCTTACCTTTCTTGCTACCAGCCAGTTTCTCAATACCAATTAAAATCTTCTTCTCGTTATCTTTGCACACTTTTATATAACTGCGTTGGATCGCAGAAGGTGTTTGTTTCGGTGAAAAACTCAACTCGAATCTAACTTCGGACTTTGTTCTCGTCAGTTTTGTTTTCGAATTCATTTCGTACATTATTACTGTGGTACAAAAGTCTACTGTTAAATTCCAATAAACAATGAACTCGTAAACAGAATAGTATTAAATAGTCGTAATATTTCTAAATAGTTTCAGATAGAGATATTAAATTCTGTTAATTTGACAAAGCGAGCTATTTGTTATTGGAGCTATTTGACGGGATCAGAGGGGGATGAAGGGAGAGAGGAGTGTGAGAGGGGGGGAGGAGAGACGATCGAACGAAATAATCAAGAGTGAGTTTTAAATACTGATGCTTTATTTTATATAAAGTATTGTATAAATGTATAAACGCTATAAATATGTGGTATCTATCTATGGTGGTGGTGGGGTGCTAGTCGTGATCGCAAAGAAAGGGTATGACGAGGGCGGGCGGGGTCGGGGGCCGGCAGCGGCGCGCCATCTATTTACATTCATTCACTCACGGGAAGGGCTGACCTACCATAATCTACCGGTCTCTCTCTTTCACTAACATATAACACGATTATATAATATATGTGTAGTGTGTGTATATATTCGAGTACACATATAGGC